TGTTCAATGGTTCACTAAGAGAAATTTTGTTTTAAAGGATTGCTAATACATCCCCAATTCAAGCCATTTAACTAGTTAACAAATGAGAGTGGTCGTTAGTTCTTTGAAGTAAGGTATATAATGTTATAGGTTGTGACAATATACTAATTATTTCATAATTAGTACGTTTGTTGTCTAATCAAATTTGAAAGAATTGTTCGTGCGTACTATATGGTCGTCCCGTCATAGATAGATTAGACAGTCAGACGAGGGAAAACAAGCTACTTGTGACTTATGAAGTCGGACTGAACATTCATACACCAGAACACAACCATCTACTGGGAACAGACGAGTGTCATGCGCGCCAAGTTCCACCAAGAAAAAAATAAGAAAAAGTAAAACTAAATGGTAAGTTGTAAATGACTTAATAGTAAGTGAACACGTGAATTAAATAAAAACTTGTGATCAATTAAATGGAAAGAACGAGACAAGAAATAAGAACTGAACATTGAAAAGTAATAGCAAAAGTAAAAATCACATACAAGATTTTGTATGCGATTTTCAGAGTAGAAAAAAGAACCAATGATTTCAAAAACATTGAAGGATGAGTCATGAAATAAAAATCACATACAAGACTTGGTAAAGGTACAGTAAAGGTTATCAACTTTTCTTCTATTGTATAACAAAAATAAACTCTGTTTACATGAAGTTCCATAATACGTTTTGTTGGATTTGGGTCTCTCAGCATGAATTTTGGGGTTAGTTGCGTGCATATAATTTAGATGAAAAAAAAAAACTAAACTTTGGGTAAGAAAAAAACTAAACTTTTAAAACTTTGAATCAATTGAGTGATTTTCTATTAATATAGGAGGATAAATTTATTTTTTCCTATGTAAAATATAAATATTGTTTAGGAGAGACCGCATTATGGTATAAATATAAACACATATATTATACAAATAATTCAAACGATAACACTTTTGCTGGTTCTGGTGAGATGATCCACTTACTCTAACCATGAAGAAGAAATGGATTGTTGCTAAGGCTTTGCAATGATTTACCATGGTGAACAAAAAGGTTAGGGTGAAGATTTTCTTCGTCTTCAAATGTTGTCCATCCCATCGAGTTTTCATGTTTCACTTCTGCATTATTGTGCCTGTTTTCCATTTCAACAACACTGTTTTTCAATTGTTTCTTCACCTCTTCTTCACTCTGCCGGTCAAATCTTGGTCTTCAACACAGTAAGAAAGGAAATTTTGTTAATAACACTTTCAGCCTGGGAGTAGATAATAGTAGTTCTACTGCTATAATGAAAATGTATGTTAAACTACCGAATTGGTTCCTATAGTTTGATCTTAACTATTTTTAGTTCCTATGGTTTGCCAAAACAAGATTAACCTATTTCCTTGCTTCTATACAATAAAAAGTAAAGATTGCATTTGTAGGAAATAGTTACTAATAATTATGCAGAAGGATATCAAACATGGAAAATGAAATGATTGAGAAATGACATACGAGAAGTTGAGATTTGTGTCTGCGCTCCTCATTTCTGTAGGCATTCTTGACAGCTCCTTCTTTACATAGTCCTCCACCAAAACCTATTTATTCATACAGAAATTTGGTTCAATGTTCAAAATAGCTCACCATGTTCTTTTTGTCCAAAAGGGAATGTAATTTGCAGTTTGAAAAACAAAAGGAAGTGTTTTAATTCTCAAACCTTGTCATCCACGGAAAAAACAGATGGTGATTGATCAGGCTGCAACTTGTTGATCAGAGACACCTCATCGTGTGCTCTTGAAAAATGCTGATAGAAGTAGGCCTCACTATCAGACCTCTCATTTAGAGACAAAGGAACTGTGTCATCATCTGTGTCACTTTTCTTGCCTTTCCTCAACCCATCAAACCCCCATTGGTTTTTTGCTCCACCACCATGCCCCTCTTTCTTATTTTTATCCCTATGAAATAGAGCTCTAAATGGCTTCCTCTTCATCTTCTCTGATCCATCCCCGAAGGGTTTGTTTTCCTTAGGATGCCTCAATTCACTTTGGGTAAAGATAGAGGGAGAAGAGACTTTTGATTGCGTTGAGTGCATGTGCAAAGTAGGTGAATTGAATATGCTCTTCTCCATCGAGTTTTTCCCAGGTTTGAAAGGAGATCCAAAGCTTAAAACCGAGGTTGCTCCTTTCATAACCTGCTTCCTTGGCTGCTTTGATGTCTTCTTGGAATTTGAATTCTCTTTGTTCATCAAGCACTGATCATCCTTCAAGTCAATATCTGACCATTCTTCCTCAGGATTTTCTCTGGTGTCTGTCAGCCCTGCACTGATCACTTCCCTGCCTTCGATCTCACCTCCTTGAACTGCCAATCTCACAAGCAAAGGCCTCCTTGAAGATTGACACTCTCCTTCAGAAATGCATTTGGCATGAAGAAGTTCCTGGCACCAACCAATAAGTAAACAATGTTACATTTAATTAAAACTTAGTAACTCAAAGGTAGAACTTCTTATCAATATTCTGTACAAAATTGCAATCATAACTGGAATTCAAAATCTTAGTTGTGATCTCAAGCCTCAATTCAATAGTTCTAGAGTCTATCCACATCATCACTACCAGATTTGGGACCAATAAGAAACAATTTTGTACTTCTCAGCAACATGAAAAAAAAAATTGCAACAAAACCGGAAGCGTAAATGTAATAGGGGCCAATATCAAATGAATTTGATAAAATAATGGATTTGTTAAAAAACAAAAGGTATTTAGTACAAAATGATTGTTAGTTTAAGTGGTTAAAAGTATTTATTTAGAAACATCATAAAGTTCTTCCATTTATTAACATATAAATCATTCTGGGCAACATAATCTCGAAGCGGGTGAATGCCAAATGAACAAGAATGTTGGCGAAAGTGAGATTCTTCATAGATCAAGACTAGTCCTACTCACCTGTAAGAACATAAGCTTGTCTTTGATGATGGAGGCATGATCCTGTTCTGGAGGGGGAGAAGCAAGAAGGGTATCAAGCAAATGGGCCCTGAAAGCCGAAACCTCATCTTCAGAGAGGATGTCATCTTTGTGTAGAGCCATCAAGTTGAGAATCTGATGGAGAGAGTCTTGCTGCCATTTGAGGTTGTCGGATTGAAGTTTCCACAGTGTGTGCTCTGCGGAAACCAAACACTTTTTCTTGAGGCCCAACGGAAGAATGGTCTTGCATAGAGAGGTGATTGAATCGTGCAGAGTGGAGTAGTACGCCCTGGGTGCATTTGAGTACCCCATTTTTTCATACGAAGAACAAGAATTTTTCATGCCAATGAAAATGGTGTCTTGTAGAAATGAGGAAGAAACAAACCAGAAGAAACAACGTTGTATTTTGAATCTGGGGTGGTGAGCTGAACGGTCACTTGATGATGACGATAATGCAGGAACTAGCCGTTGCTCAATGGGTCGGGTGGCAAATGCAAATGTTTGATTCTTTAAAAAAAAAATTTATGTCTGTTATTTAGATTTCTTTCACTATTTTAATCTTGATATTTTAAAAAGTTTATATCTTTCTTTCATTGAACATCTAAAAAGTCTATTAATTTAAGATATTATAAAAAAATTATTTAACTAACTGAAATATACAAATAAATATATACAAAAACTAAACTGTAATTTTGAGAAATGTAAAACTAAAACAGTAAGAAATAATAAATAAATGAAAAATATCATGAAGAATTGAAGAACAACTGAATAATAGTTTTAAAATTTTTCAAACAAACTGGAGAGTTTACTAGAGTTCACATAATAAAAAAATACAATGTCTTGTATCTGTTTATTATATACAATTTGTCTATTAAAGGTAACGCATTGTTAATTAATAAACTCATAAATTTTAGTTGAAAGAAATGAGTGATAAGTTCAAGATTGTTAAAAGTATTTCACCTAATTATTGAACTTAATTGCATTAGAAAGAAAAAGTATTTATTTAAATAATAATTGTACCGAATGGTTTCATTCATTTGATATTCTTAAATAAGATTTCTCAAATTAAATTGAATTAACTTATGCTATTAGAAAATACACTTAAAATAGTAGGATATATAATAATTCAAATAATTTATATAATTAAAATTTTTAAATAACTCAATTTAGTTTATTTTGTTTAAATCATAAATTGTGTTTCATGTAAAGAATTATATAACACAATTAAACTGTTTCAAATAAGTTTAAAGTTTACTTTATTTCCGTTGAATTAGTATGTTTTACTCTCTTTTAATAAATTCTATCGGTGTTCTCTTATGTGTATAATAATAAGAATGTAGATATCAAACTATTCCAGTAGGTTATTTAGTTTTCGAAGAAAAAAATCCAATCAAACAATTATATTGCATTTAACTAAACTGAAAATAGTTCAACTCGTTTTTTAGTTAAGTTTTTTATTTTTTGACATACTATTATTTTAGTTTAGTCCAACGTTTGTATAATTTGATTCAATTTAAAAAGTAGGCTACTGATGTAAATTCTTTATCTTCATTAAATTTTTACTTGCTTATTTTGCTTTCAACATCTGTTTGTTAAGAAAAAAAATTATATGATTACCGAAATATTAATTCCAGGTTTAGTTTTGGTTTAGCAAAAAACTTTAATTCAATAGCTATAACAATTTTCGTAAGAAAAGTTATGTTTATTAGGGAATTAATTTTCAATTTAGTTTTAGTTGAACAAAGAAAAATACAATATAATAATTATAGTATTAAAAAACTATAATAGTCAGTTTATTTTTTAATATAAGTAGTAAACTAAACTTGTAAATAATGTAGTTTAATTCACTATTAAAATTAACTAGTTTAGTTTAATTTTGTATAACTACTTTATAGTTTAACCTAGATTTTCCTAAACAAACGTACGACTAACCTATTATAAAGTATATGCTCTTCAATGTGGCATTACTGTCAAATGTATTACATGTTTTATGATTTGATATTTCATCGGAGCTTGCCAAAATAATGAGTGATTGATTGATCTTCAAATGTGGTAGATTAGATACATATAATCACTTTGAAGTTCAAATATTCAAACAAATGACTTCATGTTATCCAACTCAGTCTAGAATGGAAGACAGGGAAAAGTTAAAGAGAGAGGGAAAGAATGGTTGTTCTGCAACATGGACAATGAGAATTATTTTCCAACCATGGTTTCAAGCATCTGTCATGGAACTTATGTGCACAAGGAAGATGGATCAGTGTCTCTCCGACCCTGAATGATTCCAAGCACACTGCACAGTCCTCTTGTTCAGAGGCCTTCCAGCTCCATCTACTCCAACTGAATTTCCTTGCACCACTTTTCTTTGACCCATATACCTCTGTGTGCAACTCTGTTATGCTTGTTCTTCCACCCTCCACACATGTTGTACTCTTTTGCCTGTTCATTCATTAACCATAATAAGTTTTCAAAACAAAACACACAAAACCTTACAAGAATCATTTGAGCCTGAAGTGAGGACAATGCATAGTAGGATCTTATATCTGATATGCTCAAATTCAACTTAGTCATGAACCAACTATTCCAAAACCTAAATAGAAGAGCTATTTGAGCCTGAAGAAAGCTGAAATACAACTTGTGTAGCCATAGCATGACATAAAATACCAATTTCAGAAACACAAACAATTAGACAAAGACACAGATGTAGAATCACAAACCAGTGAGTAGTGTATGATGAGTTTATTGAAAGACTACTTTAAAAATCCTACCATTGATAGTTTGTAATTGATTGATATTATAAAAAAATTTACACGGCTAAGTTGTTGCTAAATCTGTTGTGGTGTGTTATACTCGATAGGCAATTTTTTTTTCCTAATGCAGTTTGATGCTTAGGCTGAAATAGTTGATCACAGAATAGCTATAGTTTCTGCAAGATGGTTCTCTAGCAGTATCTTTCTGCATAGTTTCTGGTATTGTGAAATTTATGCAGAATGTCTAGTTCTTCATCTCTCTAGACATAAGCTTTTGGAACTATGTTGTTGTTTAAAGATGACCAGAAGTAGGCTTGTGCTTTGATTTGGCTATGCTTTTACAGTATTCTGCTTCTTCAAGAAAGATAATCAGATCTGCATAAAAAAAAAAGCAAAAAACTTTTTTTCATGATTTTCTTTTGTATACCTTTTGTTATCTGACATCCTTTGTGCTCTGAACTTGTCATCCAATCTCTGTCTGGCTTCTCTGGCAGCTCCTGCCATATCCTCATCTGGGTGTGTATGGTATAACATGCCTCTTTGCTGTTTCCATTGAAATTCAGGAAGAAAAGTAATGATAAAAATGTGGTTATAAATGAAAGGGGAATTGAGGGATATTAGGTACATACACACACCTGTGAAGTGGACAAGGAAAAGTTACTTGCATACAAACCAAAAGAAGAGCGCCTTGTGGATACATGTGAAGCTAAAGAAGTTGAGTTTGAATCCAAGCAACTATGGAATCTTCTTCTTCTTGCACATTCAACTCCTGGAAGCATTCCAGCCATGGATGCTCACAACAAACTATGAAGTTTAATACATTGTGTCTTGCGTCTTATGTCATGAACTTGTTCTACAATTTCTTGAATCATGGTTTGTCCTGTTCCTGCTAGTGCTTGCTGACAGAGGAATAGAAAGAGAATTATGAAAGTGGAAAAGATGGTTTGATTTGGAAATCACACTGATTTTATTTGTTAAAGCCAAAATTGAGTAGTTGGTATGGCACAGCTGTTGCCCTACGCCATTACTTTCTGCGATAACTGGAAAGACAAAATTAGGCTCCAACTTTGACATATTTCATCACTACTTGGACACTTTATTTGAAATTATTCTTAAAATCAATTTCTTTATTGGTAGATTTCTTCTTTTATTTTATATGTTTGTCTTATATGTTTAATTTTGAAATAAGTCGTTTTCTTTACTTATTTTAATAAATAATTTTATTATTTAAAAAACATCTACCTTGATTAAATCTTTTACATAAATGATGAACAGAACAGAACTAGTCAAATTAAAAAAAAAAAAAAGAAAGTTACATAATTTTATGATAGTTGATGTATTTCAATCGATAATAAAAGATACAGAAAAGAAGAATGTACGAAAAGTATGTCATGAAAAATTTTATTCTAACCTACAAAAGTTATCTATTGGAAGATTTTTGAAGTTTTCAGAAGTCTTACGTTAGAATGTGATATTTCTATGTTTGATAGGACACTTTGAAATATATGTCTAGTATCTAACATTTTCAGAAATTATTTTTTATTATGCGTTCTACTGAAATCTCCAATACATGAACACTGAAAATAGTATTTTATTGAGAGTACTGTAAAATCCGATGTTTCTAACTACTTCTATTTCTTTCAATTTATAAATTTTTGTATTTTCACACTTAACTTTTTTGAAATTTTAAACAATTTTCGGATAAATAGTAAGTATAATAAATATGAATATATTTATTTTAGCACAACAAAAAATTATATTTTTTATATAAAAATTTTAGTTTTATTAATTTTGTTTAAATTTAATTAATAGTTAAAGTAATTGACTACATGTTTAATATTTAGTAATAATAATGTGTTCCTTTAGAAAAATAAAATTAATATATAATTAATGTTGAAGGTGTGAGATCTTTTTCTTATATAAGATGATCAGATTTTTTATTTAATTATGACAGAGATTTTCTTATTTCTTAAAGATAAAAGAGAAATTTTATTTATCTTTTATTACTTTTTCTTAGTACTCATACTTTATTTTCATATTGTCAAATGGAACATATTAATTAAAGGATTAATATGAAGTGTGGGAGGCATATATTTTTTTACTCGGCTTTGCATTTCTGCTACAAAATGAAAAAGTTTTGTAGTTTTTATCACATGAGGATTCGTAGTTTTCATTAAAAAGATGGTACGTTGAATTATAATATTTTTGTTGAATATACGTGGATATAAACTTTAAATACCGAAACATATTAAATTCTTTTATGTGTTTTTATTTAAATTTATATCTTAGTTGTAAGTGTGTTTTATTTAAAATTGTTTTTCTGTTATGTGATTTCCAACAATAGCATGAGAGGTTTCGATCAAGGATTATTATAAAAGGAGAAAGAGGAGTAATTTGATGTGTAGAGCACAATCACGGCTGTTTGTTATGTTTTTTTTTAAAAGAGGCGAACGTTGATCAACTTTTAAATTTTTACAATCACTAGTAAAAAATAGATTTTTTATAACTATATATAAAAGTAGAGACGATGTGAATTTTATAATTAATATGAAATCTTTTACATTGGTTTGGAGTCAGAAGTGGTATAAAAAGTCAAGTAATAACATTTTTGTAATATTAGAGAAAATTTTGTATACTAGTTACACCTATTGATTTTTTAAAATTGAAGAAACATTTTTATATTGGTTTTGAAATATAGAGAGAAAATTTACTTTTATATTAACTTTTATTTTTACAAAGGGCACTTTTGAGATTTTCATAAAATTGGTGGAAGTGCAGAGAGAAGCTTTTAGATATTGAATGTGTTTGACCATTGCATATATATATATATATATATATATATATAATAATAATATTCAAATATGTTTTTATTCTCTCACTTCCATCAAATTTTCCATATAATTTAATCAAAATTTACTTTTAAATCCATCCACTTTCACCTCTAGATCTTTTAAAAGAAAAAAACACAAACTTTACCTTCAAATCCACCTAAATTCATCTACTCACTCTTCTCCAAATTCATCTTTGAATATGAATACAACCTTTATCTTATAAAATATCTTAATGAAATACTTGTTGATTGATGAAAATAATACATATTAGAAAGTCTCACATCACCTAAGATAAGTAATAGAGTGGGTGATAGTGACTATATAATGGAATGTAAGTTTATTATTTTAGATGTTTTAGTTAAAAAAAACTTTAAGCTTGTATTTGATTTTTTTTTATACTTTTGTAATACAGTGTTGTGAGGTGAGCATGAGAGAGTTGTCTATGTATTGTACAAATTTTTAGATTTTAGTTGTCATTAGACAACTGTCATAGTTTTTTCTGATTTTGGAGTTTCCATATTATATTATTATGTTAATCTTATTTCTCTATTAGTAGGGTAATTCTCGGGAATAAAGATGTTGATGTTCTCCATAATACTTTTCTTCCATTAGAGTGATATCAAGAACTTATGGTTCGATAAGATATTTTTAGTATGCTTATTGGTTGTAGTTTAGTCTAATCTTCCACACCACAAAAGATTAATTCCTTATTGTTGGATAATCATTCTTGGTTGTTGAATTTACAATGACATTTGCAAATGTTGTCAAATGTGACATAGAGAAATTTGATGGAAGGGTTGTTGTCACTGAAGATGTTGTCGTGTTGGTGCAGTGAATATGTAGCTGAGCTCTTGGAGGTCTAACGAGGTGCAATGGTGGATCTACAAAGCTTTTCGTAGTGGAGCTTGTGGTGACTTATGCAATGTTCGATGAAGGTTGACAGTGGAGCAGCGGGGACTGATGTGCTTCTAGCGAGATGTAGGGATGTCCAATGCTACTATAGTGATTGCAACATTTCTAGCGAGCTACAAGGAGAACCAGTGTTAGCTGTGAATGTTAGGATGAGTCTTTTGCTAGCAATAGTTATACATGGACATAGACTAATATTGATGCATGATATGGTGATTTATACACGACTTTATTAGCATTGATGTAGGTGTGTGGTATTTTTGCACAGACATCGACTAACACTGATGTAAGGTATATGGTGCTTATATATAAGTATTGATGTGAACTAAAAGGAAATTCTTGAAATTGTTTAATTTTAAGTGAGTATACTTTTTTATGATAGAGTATGATTGATGGTATAGACAATGAAAATAAAAAGAAATATATATTTATTTTAATCATGGTAAAATTATTAAATTGATAAAAATAATAATCATAAAAAGTCTTACATTACTTAAAATAAATAATACAGTGAACGGTATTAATTATATAATAAATTTTAAACTCATAGCTTTAGATGTTTGAATATGCTTTAAACATTGTTATAAGAATATGAAAAGTTATCGATATATTATAAAAAATTTCATTTTTATCGTGATTAAATAACGGTTATGATTTTTTTTGGGATTTTAACTTTTGTAAATTATATTCATCTTGTTTCAAGCGTTTTTTCCATCAATAGTATTGAATTTTTTCCTACCTAATGTCACGAAACCTATTTGTATTGCTTTGAAGTTTTGATTGAATAGCATAGAATAAAAAGGAATGACATTTTGACAAAAACAAAATAAAATTGTGAAAACAAATATTGACTCGAATCTATTGATAAGATATGAGAATAGGTCCTCCACTTGGTTTTGTCGAGTCAAAAACTAAGTGAAGGGATAAAGAAAACAAAATGGATGTGATCTCTTTGTTATTTACACAGACTCACCATTCACAGCCTCTATTATTCCCTCAAATACGTTTTAAAGGATAAGGACAAAGATAGATCCCCGTCACGTCACATCCTTGAGGTTGGAAATGGTGAATATTAGAAAAGTTTAATAAAATTAGATTCGAATATGATACAGCACTATAGCGGAATTAATTCAGTGTAATGTAAATACAAAAAGTTCAATTATTATAGGATTTGGATGATATTTTCATGTGTCATAATCTTATCCTTTAGTCCGTAGATTATGTTTAATGATAGTGTTCGTGTTTGTATAAACACACCGATATATTTTACAACGAACTTATGAAGTAAAACATTAAAAGAAATTATCAAAATAAGACAAATATATGTTATGCAATAGACATGTTTCTTTAAGAAATTCTTTGCAAAACTTTTACCTCTCGTTTAAATAAGTACATACATCAAATTAACCTTTTCTTTCGATGCTTATCAATGTTAAATACATAAATATAAACTATTTGATAAAATTCTATATTATATTATCAAGAGAGTCTAATCATAGTAATTTATTAAACTTTGATATATTTTGTCAAACTTAAAAAATAAAAAATAATGTAAATAGTCCTTTCAATTATGTTAAATGTTTTTGTGTCAAATGTATTTCATATTGGAATTTGAGTTGTTTTTGACCTCAGTCAATCGAAAAACGTGATTGACACGTGAAAAAAATTTGACATAATTGAGTTAAAATTATTATATTTATTCATTTTTAAAGTTTAAGACTAAAATGTATCAAAGTTTTGAACGACGAATTTTAATTTCACGTCAAAATTTAAGATCTAAAAACATATTTAATTTTTAATAAAATTAGGTTTAATTATTTTTGTAACATCCCAGATTATATAGAATCATATAACATAGTAGGTCCACATTTATATAAAAAGAGAACACTTAGAGTAGACTCTAAATAAAGTTGTTAAGCTTACAGTCATCCCAAAATGAGACATGATTTAAAACTTAAACGCAATTAGAGTATTTCAGAAGGATAGGAATCACCGGGAAAATCCTCAACAACTAAATAGTAATTCAAAATACAAGAAATACTAAGAGAATCCTAAGGAGACTAAGCAGCAGCATCGTCTCCTTCCAAAGCCTGCTCCAGAGGCACCTCATCCATCTCTGCTCACATCCAACTGGATGATCATTGCAAAAGAAAGCATACCCAAGCAAACACAAACACACAAGCAAGGGTGAGCTAGATATAAAAATCATGTTATAGCGGTCACAGGCAATATGCAATCAAAGACAGATACAATACACTACACC